CATTTTTTCTTCAATTTGAGGCATGATGATGGATAAAAATAAATATGTGGCTTACCTAATTAATAAATGAATATTTGTTGTAAAATTGTTATCAATGTTATAAGTGTAGCTACCAGTTTGACCACCAATTTTGATTTCATTCCTGTAAGTCACACACTCAATTCTCTTTTGGCCACCCATTTTTATTCACACCTAAGGTGTTTTTGATTAGATTTATTTATTAACATGTGGGACAAACTTCTAATTCTTTACACATTCACGCTTACATTCACCGATAGATTCTATAGTTAAAATAATGTGGCACATTCTATTGAATTAGGACATTTCAGAATTCATATCTTTGTTTGAATAATGATTATGATTTTATAAATCATTAACATAGAAACAAAGAGATTACAAAAAGAGAATTTTTGCATTCTTAAATATGAAACTATATCCTTATGGTTTCAATAAAGATTGTAATGGTACTACTACCTAAAATTTAAGTAATAACAACTGTATTGGTAATTTCTTTTGTTTAGATAGTATTAGCAAAAAATGCAAAACAGAAAAATCAGGTACAAATAGAATAAAATAAGTAAATTTTATATATTTTTGTATAGATTTAGATAACAAGTTTTATATACTTGCTACCATTCGCAGTTCTATCTCCAAAAAAATATATATCGACTAAGCAATTCAAAGTTAAAACTATTAGCAAAAACCATAATGACATCTAATTTTCAAAATAATAATGCTAAGCACATAATTTCTTATTTAATTGTTAGTTTAAGGTAAGTAATTTAAGTGATATACTTAAACAATCACCAATAAGAAAATCATCATATATAGTAACTAATTTTAAACATGAAATTTTTAATGATTTCCAAATTTCTAAAATTTTGCACGATTCTGTAATAACAAAATATTTTTCCTATAAAATATTTAAAACCTATTATCAGTTTTAAATATGAAATTCCAATAGGGCAACTTTTATATAATTATAAATATTTTTTAAATAATTTAGATGTAAATAATATACAGAATTTACCACGTGATTATTACTCAAACTTTTTGGCAGATTCTTTTCATAAGCATATTATTACTGGAAATTGGGATATAATAAAAGATAATTCTTTATGGAAAATATTAGAATAGTAAACATTTTAGTAAAATATTAGTAAACATTTTTAATATTGTAAAGAAAAATGTAGATTATTATATTCTAAAAAATATTTATTCTACACATTATCCTCCAAGTTGGTGTTAAGAATGGAGATATTAAGTGATTAATAGAATTAAAGATAAATTAGCTTTTATTAACTTACATAAATATCCAATAGATTTAACATTTTTTATATTTAAAACTAAAATCTGTAAAATACAGGAGAAATATATTATTGTGTCTATCAAATAACAGCTTTATCTGCAAACATTTCTATGCACAACTTGTAATCAATGGGATAAATACTACACAAACTTTTAAGTTTAAAATAAATCTAAAGAGGATATTACAAACAAGTTGTTGAAAGAAATTTGGTGTTAAATTAAATCCATTTCAGAATTACCATATCTATATGCAATACCTAAAGTACATACATTTTGTTTTATTTCTAGTTCAGTAAAAACTATACTGAAACAACTTGCAGTTTGGTTAGGCAAATTACTGAATCAGTTATTTGTTAAAATATACCAAAATATAAATAACAAACATATTTTTAAAAATCCAAGAAAATTAGCAGATGCAATTCAAACATACAATTCTGTACATGTGTGTCAGCTTGTGACTGGGAAATGGCTGAACCAAATATCACAGAATCTGACATATATTCTCTCCCCCCCCCCCCCCAGGGGAGTGACATAGGCCAGTCAGCATTTGAATCTGAGTCTCTTGTCTTTTATTCATGGTTTCAACAGGTACATTGGCTAGTAATGTATATTTGAGCTTGTATTTTGTGTAGACTGTATTCTTGTATTATCTCCTATATAATGTATACTAGTTTTATATGTTGATTATTGTACACTGGTGTTAGCTCTTATACAATGTATACTGGTGTTACCTCCTTTATATGTATTCTGGTGTTATTTTGTGTAATATATACTTGTGTTATCTCCTTTATAAGTATTCTGGTGTTATTTTGTGTAATATATACTTGTGTTATCTCCTTTATAAGTATTCTAGTGTT